CTTCCCCTCCCCACAACAGACCCCCGGTGAGGCGGGTGGGGCTGAGAGAGCTCTTGACAGAAACTGCTCTATTTCAAGGACAGCTCTTATCAGAACTATGGCTTGCCCCAGGTCATCCAGCCAGGTGCAAGTGGAGGGATGGGGAATCAAACCCGGTTCTCCCAGATTAGAGTCCGCGCACTTAACCACTACACCAAAGAGGGGAACATATCTGCATAGATGGTGAACCCACGAAGACGAGAGTGGGGGCCCTGAGGAAAAACTGGAACCGCAGCCCACTGAAAGCCCCACCTAGACCCCCAGACAACGAAACTAAAACTGCACGCAGAAGGGTAGAGATGTGTATAAAAGGAAGCAAACCGGGTCCTGCATTGCTTTCTGTGACTGCAGCTTGTCTCCAAGCAAGTACCTCTCTCAGGCGAGCACACTCGAAAGCAGCGGCTGTCCCAGGCACTGGCGGCCCACCCCACCCCCCGTCCCAACCCACCGGAGACACTTTCCCCTCAAGCGCCCAGACGCACCGGATGCCGGGTGAGATCCCAGTTGTGGATCAGGCGTGAAGGGATCACCACTTCGTCGTCCCGGTGGCAGCTGTCACAGTAATAGAGGCCCGTGAACGAACACAACTTGGGCTTCGGAGAGGAGAAGCCGATCTGCCTGGAGCAGCCTGGAAGAGAAGCATGTGTGGTCAGGACTCCCGAGGGTGCCGCAGCCTGGCCCTTGGCCACCTCCCACTGCAACGACTCAAAGCAGTCCTGGAAGAACCAACGTCGTCAAGCCAAGCCGAAAAAGTGAATGCCGTCCGGAACACGTCTGAAGCCTACAGCTGAACAAAATCCCTGTCGGCTGCAAACGTGTGCGATTTAAAGAATTGCATGTTGTCCTCCTTTACCCCCTATGAATCATTGTTAGTCCCTTGTGTGAAACCGTGTAACTGTAAATCGCTCAGAGCCAGCAGCTCTGCAGGATTGAGCGATCGATACATCCAAAGGTACTATTATTATTATTATTGATGAGCCCCCAAGGCAGACCCTTCCTCTTCCCAAATTACCCCCTTCTTCTCTTCAAGCTGTCCGTCCATTAACACAGCATTCCCATGACTCAGCCTCACTTTGACTTGGCCAGGAGGGCCCCCCCCCAGTCACCTACAAGCTGGCGGCTAGAAAACAAGTCAGATCCATTCTGTGTTTGTGTGTGTGTGTGTGTGTGTGTGTGACCTCTAGCGGTTTCTGAGTGGTTGCAGAGGCCTAATGCAAAAAAATCTCCAGTTATCTTCAATGTTCCCTCTAAGCTGTGGAGTCTTGTGAGCAAAAATTCTAATTCGTGAGCTACTGGCATTAAAATTGTGAGCTACTGCATGATTTGGCTACTGCATAAATTAGATTGCTCTGGAGCCATGCTTCCTGAACTAGGATAAAAATCTGTGAGCTGGAGGCTAAAATACTGTGAGCTAGCTCACAGTAACTCAGCTTAGAGGGAACACTGGTTATCTTAGGTGCATCTGCTAAACGCCACAGCACCACTGGGGACACTTACTCTGACAGAAACATTCCGGGTTCCAGAGACTCATTTATAAAAAGGGCGTTGAGATCAGCAGACAAGAATCTCCTGGTGGTTCCCGGCCCCAGAGATATCCGGCTGGCCTCGACCAGGGTTTGGGCCCAGCCCGGCGGAACTCTCTGCCGAACGACATCCGTGCCCTGCCTGATCTATTAAAGCTCCGCAGGGCGCGCAAGGCAGAGATGTTCCGCCAGGCCTTTGGCTGAGGCCAGCGACGGTTCCTTTACATCTGCCCAGCGCCCTCTCCCCCCCCCATAAAAATCTGAATGCTAAATATGCCATCTTGTTCTTAAAATGTTTAAATATTTATGCTGAATGTTTTAATATTGAACTCTTGTAGATGAGCTGCGGTGGCTCATGTGGTTAAGACGCTGAACTGCAGGCTGTGGAAGGTCGGTAGTTCAGCAGTTCGAGACCCAGGTGCCGCAAGACGGAGTGAGCTCCTGTCTCTAGTTCCAGCTCCTGCCAACTTAGCAGTTCGAAAGCAAGAAATCGCAAGTAGATAAAGAGGTACCACTTCGGTGGGAAGGGAACAGCGTTCCGTGCGCCTTGGTGTTTAGTCAGGCCGGCCACATGACCACGGAAACGTCTTCGGACAGCGCTGGCTCTTTGGCTTTGAAACGGAGATGAGCACCGCAACCCTAGAGTTGGATTCGACTGGCTTTCGAGCAAGGGAACCTTTACCTTTACCTTGTAGCTTTAATTGGTTTTAAAATTGTATTGAATTATGTTGTTGTAAACCGTCCTGAGCCCTGTGTAAGCGGGGAAGAGCAGTCAAGAAATATAATGAAATAAATAAATGAGCAAAACAGAACAGGATCTCGGCCCTACTTTCGCCTGACCCTCGTGAATCCATTGCATTCTGGCCTTTTCCGCATTCTCACTTCCTTCACTTTGTGGGTTGTTGCTGTGTTAGGTTTTTCCCCACCCTTTTCCTCATGTGTTTTTGCCCCCTCTAGTGGTCGATTCAATATCACACAAATTTATTTCCAGCATATCTCCCAGCAGATTTAAACTTCAGGTTTTTATGCTGGACACAAACCTGTGTGATATTGAATCGGCCACTAGAGGGGGCAAAACACATGCATAACAGAACTCCCCCTGCCCTGAAGCAACAGGAACAGACAAGAGAGGAAAAGGAGAATGTGGAAAAGTCCCCCCCCCTCGCTCCTGGTAAAATCATTTCTCTTTCTTCCTTTAAAATATTTATGCCCCACTTTATACCCTTAGACTCGGGGCAGCCTCCTGCAGTAGTTTTTTCTTCAGTGATCCTTATCTGAAATTCCTGACGCCCATGGTAACAGACTCATCCTTGACTGTCAGCAGAGTAAAGCTTGTCAGTGTCCTAAGGGAAGACCTGCGTGCTCTGATCGACAGCACAGAACGAAATCGCCCCCGGCACAGGCAGGCTCCTCCTAGCTCAAAGGCAAAGGTCAGCGGGTCCTGTCACAACACAGAAGAGGATTGGCCCCGAAACTAGGGCACGAAAGTACTACACAGGGCAGCAAGGTGCCCATTTATTTATTTGGATTTCTATCCCGCCCTCCCCGAAGGCTCAGGGCGGCTAACAGGGCACAATGCCAAGTAATAACAATAAAACAATATAAAAGATTAAATTACAATAGACAATTAATAAACCAATAAATAAACATCATAAAAACACTTCCGGCGCTCCTCTATTCAGTTCCAGATGTTAAGATTTTAAGACCCAGATGGTGTTCTCAATAACATAGCTAGACACCCACAGCACTGTAAATCCTACTGCCTGCCATCCCCTAAAACACGTCCCGTTCTCTCCAATGGTGCCCGCACCAGCGGTAGCAGTATGCAGAAATCATAGGGCGTTGATGGAACGATGATGGTAAAACAATGATGGTGGCGGCTCCTTTTCGAAAGCCTGGCGGAAGAGCTCCGTCTTACAGGCCCTGCGGAACTGTACTAGGTCCCGCAGAGCCCGGATCTCCCCTGGGAGCTCATTCCACCAGATAGGAGCCGCCACCGAAAACGCCCTAGCCCTGGTCATCACATAGTTGGTGGTCCTGGGGCCTGGAACATCCAGGAGATCTTGATTCCCCGACCGTAGTGCCCTTGGGGGAACATGTGGGGAAAGTAGTGTATTATATTTTGACCTCTCTATGGGGTGCAACTAGATTTTCTGTCTCAGACACCAAAAAGTCTCGGGATCATCTCTGTCAATGGACAGCAAGATTTCTGAATTGTCTTCTGATTATTGGAGAGATTCCCAAAATGATGCAGAGTACCCCAGTGCCCATCACCCATGCCTCTTGCTCTGCTTTTGCAAGGGGAAGAGTGGGCAGGGGGACCCAGTAAGGGCCACATGCTTCAGCAGGTCCGGTTCTGACACAGAGGCAAGTCTTAATTACTAGGTCCACAACAAAAATCAAAACCAGTGAGCCATCACAAACTAAAACAGAAGTCTAAGATTTGCTACCTGAGTTGTACTACAGCTTCCAAAACTTTAAAGGTAAAGGTTCCCTTGCTCGAAAGCCAGTCGAGTCCGACTCTAGGGCTGCAGTGCTCATCTCCGTTTCAAAGCCGAAGAGCCAGCGCTGTCCGAAGACGTTTCCGTGGTCATGTGGCTGGCATGACTAAACACCAAGGCGCACGGAACACTGTTACCTTCCCACCGAAGAGGTACCTATTTATCTACTGGCAATTTCTCGCTTTCGAACTGCTAGGCTGGCAGGAGCTGGAACTAGAGACGGGAGCTCACTCCGTCATGCGGCACACTCGGGTCTTGAACTGCTGAACTACCGACCTCCCACAGCCTGCAGTTCAGCGTCTTAACCACTTGAGCCACCGCAGCTCAATTATGTCCCTACTAAACTCTTAGGTTTCCCTTGCTCGAAAGCCAGTTGGATCCGACTCTAGGGTTGTGGTGCTCATCTCCGTTTCCAAGCCGAAGAGCCAGCGCTGTCCGAAGACGTTTCCGTGGTCATGTGGCCGGCATGACTAAATACCAAGGCGCACGGACTGGAGCTAGAGACGGGAGCTCACTCCGTCATGCGGCACACTCGGGTCTTGAACTGCTGAACTACCGACCTCCCACAGCCTGCAGTTCAGCGTCTTAACCACTTGAGCCACCGCAGTTTCCTTCCAAAACTTTAGCCACACACAAAATTACTTATTTATCTTCATCTCTTAATAACCAAGAAGACTTCGCTTGTAAAGAGACAGAGTCCTGCTTAAGCAAAGAGAAAATCAGTTCAGCTCCCAAATCTGAAAAGTCAGGGAAATCCAAAAGAATATGATCTATAGAGTTCATCTCTTAATAACCGAGAAGACTTCGCTTGTAAAGAAACAGAGTCCTGCTTAAGCAAAGAGAAAATCAGTTCAGCTCTCAAATCTGAAAATTCAGGGAAATCCAAAAAAATACGCTCTATAGAGTCAATCTGAGTCAATTCAGTTAGTACCGAATTGAGGCAAGTCTGCTAAGTTGCTAACTGCAGACCCCAATCAAAGCCTCATCAGATGTTCCAGGTGTCTCCATAGGCTTTACCAGATGAAGCCAAGAGGATCGGGAAGACGTAATCAAACAGGAACACTGGAAGCAGTGTTCCCTCTAAGCTGAGTTAGTGTGAGCTAACTCACAGTTTCTTAGCCTCCGGCTCACTCATTTTTGTCTTCGCTCAGGAAGGAGGGCTCCAGAGCAAACCAATTTCTGCAGCAGCCAAATCGCTCGCTCACAACTTTAATGCCAGCAGCTCACAAAAGTAGAATTTTTGCTCACAAGACTCCAAAGCTTAGAGGGAACATTGACTGGAAGTCAAGCATCTCTTGCAATTTCTGTTTCTCGATATCCGCGTCCAGCCCGATACTGCCGGCTCAATACATGCCCCCCAGTACCCCCCGAGCCAAGTTCTGGCCTCGCTCCCTGCTACCTCACCTGCACAAATGAAGCTCTGGCAGTCCAGACCCTTCTCTGTGGGGATGGCGACCAAGTACTGCAGGAGGAAGCCGTTCTCCCTGACGGTGTTCTTCAGGATGGCCTGCGAGTTCCCATCCAGGTTGCCTCCAAGCGTCAGGGCCTCCTCGGCGGTCTCCAGGTAGGACATGAGCACCTGGCGGACCAGGTCTCTCCAGTCCGCGGCCTCCTCCGCATTCTGGGCCCTCAGCTTCAGCACCGCTTTCGAGGTGATGACTTTGAAGAAGGCCGGCCCGCCCAGGCTGACGTCAGGGAGGATGTCCTGGATGGTCTCGACCCCGTAGCTGTTGCTCAGGGTTTTCTCGCCGTTCCTGGCCTTGAAGCACTTCAGGGCTTCTAAGGACAAGGAGAACACGAAAGGGACCCAGGCCCGGTCCGCCTCCAGGTACAGGACAGACTCCTTGACCGCATCCACCTCGGGGGCGAGGGCACACGTCCAGTCCGGCTCGTTCTCGCCAGTTTCATCGTACAGCAGGAGGCCCAACGGACCCCCGGGCTCCCCACCGGCAGGGCTTGCCTCAAGGTCCTCCGCCTCTTCCGGGCACTCGATGGTCCCCCAGTCCTCCTCCGCCTGAGGCCGGCACTTCTGAAGGGCTTCGTGCAGCCGGTCCAGCCAGTCCTCCGCCTCGTCTCGGCAGGCGGCCCGAAGGCACAGCTGCTTGCCCGAGAAGACGAGATCGAACCGGCCGTCGTGGTGCGCCGCCCCCAGGGAGTCGCAGCGCAGCAGGGAGCAGGTCTCCACACACACCCGCTCCTCGCTGTCCACAAACAGGCGCAGCTCCAGGGGCGAGAGCTCGCAGAAGAACTCCTTCCAGATGCCCACGGCTCCCCGCCGCTCCAGGTTCCCCAGCTTCAGCAGGCCGCGGAACGGGTTGGAAAGGCCTGCCGGGAGGGGGGGAGAAGAAGAGCATTGTGGGTACAGGAAGAGTTGTGCTGGGAGGGGCATAGAGATGTGAAGGCCCGGAAAAAAACAGGGAAAATTCGGGGGGG